AAAAAAAGTATTGTGATATTTAGAATGTTTAAAAATAGCTTATGAAAAGTACCTTGGGGCTCGGCAGTAATAGAGGTACACTCTTTTCTTTGGTCTCAACTATGTGTGATTCAGGTGCAGCATCCAAATTAGTTGCGCCAACAACGGCTATTTCAGGATTCTTTTCAGAAACACCTAACTTCGTATCTGTACCAGTCACAACATTACTAGTCTCTACTATCGTTGCAGAAGAGGAAACTTTCTCTGAAAGTTGAAACAAACATTTGAAAATAACAAAATCAGAAATGAAATTTTCAACAAATCACACCTTCTTCAACCGGTAGCTCCTCCTTACTACACTCAGCAGGCTGCTCAACTGTAGGTGTTACATCCTTCGGCTGTTCGAGGAGAGGAGGATGAACGGCTGGCAAAGGTTGTGGAGAAGGAGATCTTATGGGGCGTGTGAACCTGTATGACATAGAACTTGCAGAATACTAGGAAAGTGAAAATCTTGAGAAGTGAAAGTTCTGCGGATACTTGTTATTTCACTACCTCGACACTCTCTGTAATATACCCAAGGCCGAGTTTGGATCGACAGGTTTGGAAATGGTAGGAGTTGATAGACCATTGCCTTTTGTAACAAGCTCCGAATCAAGCATCTTCTTTGTCATTGTGTGACTACGCGACGATCTTCAAATAATCAAGTTACTGTAGACAAATTAGAAGCAGCATTTACACTGTGCACCTTCGAACATTTAATAACCCTGGAGATAATCTTGCTTTAGATGATGATGATGCGCTTTCAACAACAGATGAAGAGATTCGCACTTTTCCAGCTCCAGCAGCTTTGACAGATATGGAAGTGTGTTTCGATCTGGTAACTCTGCAAACTCATTAATCAAACTGAACAATTTCTGCAAAAACTAGGCCATCTTCAACTACATTCAATGCAAAACAAAACGGAACAATGTTATAAATGTCTCACTTTGTTTCATGGTGTTCATTTTTGGAATCGGACGGAATGGTCCTGTCCGAATTGACATTGGTCACACTTTCAGGCGTTGCACTTGAGCTGAGAAAAGGATCAGAATGATAAGGATTCAACAAAATAGAGAAAATACTCAGTCAATAACTAAACCGCACTTAACGTAACAAGGAAAATTCACAAAGACGGTTACCTTGATTTGGCTTTACTCTGTCCACCATCAATAGGATTCTCTTGAGGTCCCGTAGGCACTTCTATGGATAGCGGAACATCCAACCTTGCCCCAGCTTGAGGTACCTCTTTTCCAATGGAAGACGTGGCCGGAGACTGAGGTACCGGTGGGAAAATACTAGGAGAGGCTGACCCTCTGCTTTCTGATGATGGTATGTATTCCGAAGTGTTTGAGCTGGTTGATGGAGTTTCCTAAAGATAACTCTGTACATTTGAAGTGAAACAATACGGAGAAAACTCACAACAACTTTACTCCGTCTCGTAGCAGATCTCGTACCCAATAAAGTTCTTCTTCTCTCTGTGACCTAGACACATGTT